AGGGGATTGCAGGTTGATTCTCGGTCAGAGCACATGCCTGGATTGCGGGTTCAGCCCCTGGTCAGGGCACATGCAAGAGGCAACCAATTGATGTTTCTTTCTTCATTGATGTCTCTCTCCCTCTCCCCCCCTCCCTAAAATCAATGAGCATGTCCTAGGATGAGGATTAAAAAACAAAAAAGAGTAAAATAGTAGAGCTTCTAAAAGTCTAAAATGGACTGAGAAGACCTTTGGAAAATAGAAGATCATTGGTATGAGAAATGTGTCAATCAAAGAGTGGCAGAAGAAATCTTATGGCAAGATGTTATGTGATACTGGGCAAGTAAAGAGACTGAAAACAGCAATAGCAAGTAGTGAAGAAAAGGAGAGAGATCAGTAGTTCCAAGGGGTGGTAGCGAGGACGAGGAAAATATCTTCATAGTAAGAAAGTGTAGAGAGGAAAGGGTTAATAGAAAGGGAAAGAATGATGATGAAAGAACAGAAAAAATTCATGGTGGAGTCTCAAAGAATCTTCAGAACAAGGAGAGAAAAATAAAATAGGATAAGAAAAATGCATTTTAGGAAAGACAGGAGGGAAGCTGGAATATTAAGGTGGATATCTTTGATCTTAGTTTATGAGCATGAATTGGGCTAAGAGTCTTGACGGTGAAGTAGGGGAATGTGAATGTCACAGGGAGATGAAGGGATTGCTAAGCAGTACTGTGAGCTCAACTTATGTCAGCTGATAAAGAGCTGGGTTTTGTGAATTCTTCCACTTCTCAGTCTAGGATCAGGAGTTGAAAAACAGGAGGTAAAAACTTCCTGAATTTGAGACTGGGAAGGTGAATTGATTCATTTGTCTGATGAAACAAATCTATATAACAAGTATATAATTACATTTCATTGGTATTCATGGTTTTCACTTTTTATTCTCACGACTGGTATACAAAACTGTCCATTTTCAAGATGCCACAGTCAACTAGTAGAGAATCCATGCTGATTCCAAGGGTTAAGTCACAAGTTCTCATAACTTAAAAGCTGGATAGGTCCTTACTGGTTACTAGTTCGAGATGAGGTAACTAAGGCCCAAACAACTTAAGAAACTTGCCCAAGGTCACAATGACAGTGGTAGTGGTCTCCTGATGTCACATCAGTGCTCTTTGCACTATACCTCAAATTCTTCCACAAAGCACACCTGCCAAAGTAAAATAAATCACCACTAGTGGCGACCTCCCACTTAAGTGTTGTGATCTAAAAAAGAAAACCTACAGCATCCCCTGGAATTCTTATTTAAAGTCAGCCTTGCGTTTCTTTAAAAAACTATAGAAGCCAGTAAGCAATTTTGCCTCAGCGAAAGTATACCAGCTGCCTTAAGGCTTCTTCTTATACATTGTTTCCAAGATCCTGGGTTAAGGTAAGCCTTGTGAACCAGAAATAGCCTTGGGACATGTTATTTTGATTTGAAGTATGGGGGGACAAAAAGAAATCCGGGGGAATCAGACCTCTGCTCTGCAGAAGTGCTAAAAATACGTCTCAAATCATTCTAGATTACATTCGGGTCTTCTTAATAGTCCTAAGATTGAGCCTAGTTGAGGATCTTTGCAGTGCTGGCTTAATTATGAGCAGCCTAAAAAGAGATGGGACTTGCAGGAAATTCCAAAAGCCTCTAAGGCAAGGTGTTCAATGAGATGTAGGGAAGAAAGAAGCAACACTGCAGTACAGGTAAGCAAAGAAACAAGAAAGAATCGAGGCCATGATCCCTACACCTGTTCTCAGCAAGGTGGCTCAGATATATGGGGACCTGAGGGTCCTCTGTTCCCCTCAGAGGCCAAGCATTCACAGCTTCCCTCTAAGGGTTTTTCCACTTGAAGGGAGTAGATTGCTGGGCAAAAAGGCAGAAGCACAAAGAGTATGGTAGCAAAACAAAAAGCTTAGAAGGCTGAAAGAGTTTTTTAAAAAAGTATCTGTATATAGTTCTTATTATTAACTTGAGGACTAGCTCAGTATACTAGCTAGATCTTACAGATCTACAGAGAATGATCTTTGCAGGAAATCTCTGTTACCTGAAGATGAAAAGGAATGTGAACCAACTCTGATCTGAATTCAGACTTGGTGCCAATGGACAGCTCAGGTGAATGTCCTATGGAACGGCAAGAAAGCAAAGTAGAGTATGTAATTGCAGAATAGTTCTCTTTCCCTTGGGATGGGGCCAGGGTGGGGGGCGGGGAGAAGAAGAAGGAAACAAGAAAAGTACTAAATCCTGAAACACAATATGATTATGTGGGAAAAAATATGATATTAAGAGTAGGAGAATTAAAAATCTTAAAGATTTAATTAAATGAGTAAAAGTGATTTTAAACCTGATTCAAGAAGTGTTTATTCTGGGTTTCAGAGAAGGAAAAGAATTTTGGAAAGTATCTGACATGGCTCCTAAGTTCAAATAATATTATAATATCTATCAGGTATATATTAATATAGATCCAGAAGTGACAATGATAGAGATGTAAGCATTCATTCATTCAAATAAATATTTTTGAGGCCCTACCCCAGGTGTCAGGTGTTAAGTGTTGGGGATACACTGGTGTGCAAAACAGTCTCTGAGAGCATAGAACTTCTCACGCAGAAGAAGAAATACACATCAATAGAAAAATATAATTACAGGTGGCTCCTGATTAACAATAGTCTCACTTAGGATTTCTCAGCTTCATGACAGGTGTGAAAACCAAATGCATTCAGTAGAAACCAAACTTCAAATTTTGACCTTTTCTCAGGCTAGTGAGACGTTGTATGATACTCTTGTGATGCTGAAAAGCAGGAGTAAGATGATGTTGCCCAACTATAGGCTAATGTCAGTGTTCTGAGCATGTTGAAGGTAGGCTAGGGTAAGCTATGATGTTTGGTAGGGTAGGTGTTAAATGCATTTCCCACTTACGATATTTTTGTGACTTCTGATGGGTTTATCAGGATGCAAGCCTCCTGAAAGTCGAGGAGCATCTTTCTATACAAGCAACATTGCAAACTGCAATGAGTGTTGTGAAATAAAGTGTAGAGTGCATTAAAACTGTATTAATAGGGAAACTCAGTAATAGGCTGCCAGAGACAACCAGAGATCCCTTCAAAGCAAAAAATTTATTTGAAAAAATCGGCAGGGAGGGAGAACAGGGGTCCTCAGATAAAAAGATATCCATTAGTCTCAGGAGAGTAATAGGTGAGTTTCACTCTCTTGCAGTTTTCATCAGGTTCACATACATGCAAAGCATCTCGCTGTTGGAGAAAATCACCATCATAAAGATGGATGGAATAAATAGGCAGGAAATTGATGTCTTTTATCTTCAATATATTGAGGCAGCAGTCCCCGATGGTTGCTTGATGGCACAGAGCTGTGGTCTGGATATGTCTGTCATTCCATCAGATTCTGGATGTTGAGATGTTTGGCCATAGGCAGAGGGTATTTTAAAATTCAGAGAGAGCCACTTGTGACTTCTAGACTATATATTGTGTACACACATCCAGAGTCAATCTCTAGAGTCAAGCTCTCTGTCTAGTTTCTCTGTATCAGTTTCTAGCACAATAGGATTTTTTCATTATTGTCTCAGGCACAGAGTAAAAACCTCATCAGCAATTATTCAAAAAGCTGAACCTCTACTATGTAACTAATGACGAGAGCCAAGAGCACAGAATTCTTAACCTGTATTACATTCATCGCCAACTGCATGGTAGACTTTAAATAAATACTGAATCACAACAAGAATTCAGAGGAACATACTTCTATCAGAACGACGAGAACGAAAGGCCTGAATTTCCACAGGCAGCCCGACAGGATAGCTTATGATAACCAGAGATAATGAGCTGCGCTCCTCTGGGCCTCTCAGTTCCTCAGGGTGGGGGTGCTTTGAAAGTCTGGTTATTGATGCAGAGACCTGAGGGGACTCTGAGGCCCAGCCTTTTTAACCACACATACTTTGACAAGGACTTGGGGTTTTTAATAAAAAAAAAAATATATTTGCTGAAATCAAATTGCCACAGATGGTATGAAGGGATCTGAAATACCTGGTAAGTCCCTTTGCACTCCTATTTTCTCAGGGTTAAGAAGTTCTAAAACAGAAGAGATTCTGTTCTCAGGGACAAATGGAACATATAAGAAGTCTGGATTGTAGCCTCGGGCAGCAGCACCCTACAGTGATCCAACTGCTTAGTGGATACCTGAAAACAAGACCATGTAAACATTTCCCTGTTGCCTAGGCCTATAAAATCTGTACCGACAGATGCATGAAGTGGCGTGGGTGGCTGGGCAATGAGGCAACCAGTGGGAAGGAGCTGGCTGCACCTCCAGGTGTTAAAAAAAGGCAAGAGTTGCACATTCAATGAGCCAACACTAAGTCAATTGAAGAGTGACTGTTTTCCATTTCCCCGACTCCCACAGCTGCCCTTTTACTACATTTTCTCTTCAAGCCTGACCCAAAGTTCATTTACTTGAATTCTCCCATATAAAATGATAGATAGGGGTGTTGAGAGTATAGACACAGTGTGAATTACCTGGCCAGCACCTATCAAGTGACCACTTAAGAACCAGGGCCAACACTTGAATTGCTACGAAGGGGAGATAATTAAAACTGGCAATCTTGCCCTGGCTGGTGTGGCTCAGTGGACTGAGTGCTGGCTATCGAACTAAAGGGTTGCTGGTTCGACTCCCAGTCAGGGTACATGCCTGGGTTGCGGGCCAGGTACCCAGCTGGGGGCATTCAAGAGGCAACTACACATTGACGTTTCTCTCCCTCTCTTTCTTCCTCCCTCTCCCTCTCTCTAAAAATAAATAAATAAAATCTTTTTTTAAAACACTGGCAGTCTCTAGAAGCTGGGAGATTTTACTAAGAAGTTTATTATAATCCTCTGGGTTGGTATCACCAGCAGACTATGGTCACTTGAGACTCCTAATAAATAATTGGTATTATTTACAACAATACAATTCTGCTGGCAGAAGCAGGCTGAGAAGGGATGGGAAAGCCTCATGTAGCACTTACCGTCTTCTGTTTCCTGCCACACAATGCCCTCGAGGTTGACGCTTGTCCCAGGTTCGCAGGGGCCCAGGCATTCAGGCTCAGTGGCTAGAGCCACATCACATGTGTTGACCCCGACTGATCGGGTGCGAACCATAATCTGCTCACAGGGAGATGAGATGTCGTTACTGACCACTGGTACCAAAAGGTGCAGCGGCAGCACTGCTGGTGTAGAGACAGGGGACTCCATCTGTGGGGGAAGAGAAAGTAGTAGCTGAGCTGCAGGAAGAACATTCAGAGGAAATACCTTTTCTGTATTTAATTGAGTCCTACATCCTTTCCTGCCAGAGTTCAGAGGGCTCTAAATATAAGTCTTTGGTCTTTCCTTTCAAGTTCTACCTCATGACACTACAAACCTAGCAGTTTAGATGTGTGCACCATGTGCTAGGAGAAGCTCTATTTCTTAATAACAATTTTCTTCATACACTGTGCTTGGCTAAAAGTATAAAAGAAATCTTGTCTCATAAAAAAATCTCTAGTGAAAGAATATCAGGGCCAATTTTCAGTAGTAACAAAGCACATAGATTGATGAGAAAGAAAGCACATAGATTGATGAGAAAGAAAACGACCAGTTTCTGGGCCTTGTTCTGCTGTTGCTGCCACTATGTTCCCCAACAGTCTATCATTCAATAAGTCATATACTAACCAGGTTTAAAATCCAAGAACAGACAGATTTCCAGCCAAGATGGAGGTGTAGGTAGATAATACTTTGCCTCCTTGTACAACCAAAAGTAGGACAACAACAAATTTAAAAACAAAAAGCAAACAAAACTGCCTGAAAATCGAACTGTATGGAAGTCTAACAACCAAGGAATTAAAGAAACATTCATCCAGACCAGCAGGAGGTGGAGACACAGGCAGCTGGGGTGGAGGGGCCACATGGCAAGGCATTGGCTGGAGGACCGGGCAGGCCCACATTTGCGTGTGGATAAACCAGAAGGAACAACTGGGGAGTGAGACAGACCTCGCAAGCCCAGGTTCCAGTGTGGGAAAAGAAAGTCTCAAAACTTCTGGTTGTAAAAATCTGTGGGGGTTGTGGTGGCAGGAGATACTCCCAGGCTCATAGGGGAGTTCATTGCAGAGACCCACAGGCTCCTAGAACATACACAAAGCCACCCACTCAGGAATCAGCACCAGAAGGGCCTAATTTGCTTGTGGGTAGCGGGGGAGGAGACTGAAAGTGGGGCAAGAGCTGAGCAAGCGGCACAGGACCCTCTCTGACCTCTCCCTCACATATAGGGCCACAAAGTGGCACTGTGGGTTGCCTCACTGTGGTGAATACCTAAGGCTCTGTCCCTTATAACATAACAAGAGCACCGAGACAAAGAAATATGGTCTAAATGAAAAAAGAGCTCAAAACACCAGACAAAATACAATAAAGCAATGAAGAGATAGCCAACCTATCGGATGCAGGGTTCAAAATGTTGGTAATTGGGATGCTCACAGAAATGATTGAGTATGGTCACAAAATAGAGGAAAAAATGAAGGCTACGCAAAGTGAAATAAAGAAAAATATATAGGAAACCAACAATGAAGGGAAGGAAACCAGGACTCAAATCAGTAATTTGGAGCAAAAGGATGAAAACATTCAACCGGAACAGAATGAATAAATAAGAATTCAAAAAAATGAGAAGAGGCTTAGGAACCTCTGAGGCAACTTTAAACTTTCCAACATTTGAATCATAGGGGTGCCAGAAGGAGAAGAGGAAGAGCAAGAAATTGAAAACTTATTTCAAAAAATAATGAAGGAGAACTTCCCCGATCTGGCAAAGGAAATAGATTTCCAGGAAGTCCAGGAAGCTCAGAGAGTCCCAAAGAAGTTGGACCCAAGGAAGCACATACCAAGGCACATCAAAATTACATTACTCAAGATTTAAGATAAGGAGAGACTCTTAAAAGCAGCAAGAGAAAAGGAGATAGTTACCTACAAAGGAGTTCCCATAAGATTATTAGCAGATTTCAAGAGAAACCTTGCAGGCAAGAAGGGCTGGAAAGAAGTTTTCAAAGTCACGAAAAGCAAGGACCTACACCCAAGATTACTGCATCCACCACAGCTATCATTTAGAATGGAAGGGCAGATAAAGTGTTTCACCGATAAGGTAAAGTTAAAGGAGTTCATCATCACCAAGCCCTTATTATATTAAATGTTAAAGGGACTTATGTAAGAAAAAGATGATCAAAACTATGAACAGTGAAATGACAACAAACTCACAACTATCAACAACTGAACCTAAAAACAAAAACAAACTAAGGAAACAACTAGCACAGGAAAAGAATCACAGAAATGGAGATCCCATGGAGGGTTATCAGTGGAGAGAGGGAGTGGGGAGAAAGGGAGAAAAGGGAACAGGGAATCAGAAGGATAAATGGTAGGTACAAAATAGATGGGGGAGGTTAAGAACAGTATAGGAAATGGAAAAACCAAAGAAATTACATGTACAACCATGGGCATGAACTAACGGGGGGGGGGGTATGTTGGTGGAGTGGGTGCAGGGTGGAGGCGAATAAAGGGGAGAAAAAAAATGGGACAACTGTAATAGCATAATCAATAAAATATGCTTAAAAATAAAAAAAAAAATCCAAGAATAAAGGTGGGGATAAAAAGGGGGAGAAATATCCAGATCCTCAGAATGCCACTTCAAGACCACTGGTACTTTTAATTCATTTTTGGCTAGGAAAAAAAAAATCTTCTTAAAAGTTTTATAAAAGAGCTGGGAGCAACCTGATGATAGTTTCTATTATAATGGCAATTAGTTAACGAGAATGGCATTTTGGAATGTGAATCTAACATCAAATTTATCTGCCAGAAACAGGTGTTGTTACGACCCAGAAGCCAATCCATAGCAGTCTGCTGATGAAGTTGATTACACACATACACAGACAGAAATAGTTGAACATAAGGACCAACGATCTACCTCCAAATCTAGGACTTCTCACAAAAACACAATTTCTTAGACTCCAAGAAAAATGCAACACATTTAGAGTTAAAGTTACAGTAAAGAGGGTAACAATCCCTTAACGAGTTAAATCCTAGCATTTATCAGGCTGACAAAGTACAAACTCTGAGTCTACAGTGTCCAAATCCTAACTGAACATAGTGTCTTGCATATGCAAAGGCACTCAATACACATTGACTGATTTGGTATGATACCAATCAGCACACTTAGAAAATGATCGGGACCATCTTCCTCTGTCAAAGACTTTTTAGTTCAGTTTGAATATATTCCTTCTACAGACATACATTCAGAGAGAGCTACACAATGAACCCATAATCCAAGCTGCTGGACAGCTCTACAACTGAACTCTGGTTCTGGAACAGTTTACTGCATGCATGATCACCACTCTATACCTATAATCCATCTACTTCCTCTTAACACTGACATCTGGGTATTGCATCCATTCTCTGTAGTTAGCTCTGACATCTTGGCTTCTAAGTCACTGCTATTTGTGGATCATCACTGTCAGAGTCCACAGACTGCTAAAACACCGATTCTGAGTAATTCTGGTCCCTGAAAGGCTGCCAAAACATTATCCTTATCTGCTTGTTGTCATATACACCCACTCTGTACTCCCTAACTCCGCCTTTTTCATAAAATGAAATGAAAGTGGAAGCCTGTATAATGAATCTTATGCATGATGGTAAATGCCGAAAGGCATTTTTACTCTCTTGAAAATCAGACATTTATAATTTAATTTGGCAACCCTCTTGGGAGTGGTACATTCTTGAAAGACCCTTTAACATTTCGATGCACAGACCTGAAGATAGAAATAACACAGAAAAAGTAAACTAGACTCCGTACTATTCCTGTATAGTGCTGGAATTTGGCTCTAATCATTAAACCCTTTCAGGAATGCTACAAAAAAGTGGATCATAACTCTTTGGAAAGAAAGCTTCCTGGAGAGTGTACCCTTGAGAGTTACTAGAAAGGGGAAATTAGAGACAGAGTATACAGATCATCTTTACTTTTGGTCTTACCTGTTTCTCTGTTCTTTCTCTTGGAGAAGAACTGAGACAAAAGCAATTTCGAAGTCAGGACATGCATTTCCTTTGCTTAGAGTTTATTCTCTTTTCTATACCTTTCTTTTACTCTCAAGAGACAGTCTTACAAAGTCCTCTTTCTGGGACACAGAGACTGACCTAAACCTTCTAGGTCACTCCTGTGAATTTTCTGACTGCCTTGTTTGAACATGTTCCATTGCCAATCTGTTCCACTGCTTAGACAGCAATCCCGAGCACAGAAGGAGGTAAGTCCCCAGGGAATCACCTATATACTCTCTCAGGAATCAAGGACAGCTCTTTCTGGAAGTGGTTTCATTTCCTGCTGAGTTAATTCAGTGCTGCAGGAGTCCAGAGAGAAGAGAAGCTACTAACATTCTAGGTAAAGCCAAGCCCCTTGTTTCCTACTGATAGATCCAAAAACAACATCTACGCTATTTAGTAGGAGACACCAATATTGCAGTCAAACACTTTGCCAAATTAAACCCCTCTACAGAAACCTAAAGAGAAGCTTAGCTGAAATGATCACTAAGAATAACAAGAACTGATACTCATGAGGAGCTGATTAACATGTATATGCATCAAACTACCTTACTGATCAGAGTTATTAAGTAGAGCTCAGAATTTCTGTGTGAGGATGACTTTATTTAATTATTTAGTTAATTAAAAGATTTTTCTGGGGGCAGGGGGAAAGAAGTGAAGAAATCTACCTATGGGTTTTGAACTAGTCAGTTTCCTTCCACTTTGCAACAGAAATCTAAGGAGAAATCACTGTGCAGCACAATAATGTTTAATTAGAGCTCCAGCTCTGATAATTACCGTTTGGTCACATCCATAATCTACATTAAGCCACAGTGCATAATAAGCAGCCCTGCGATAATTTATCTAATAACCTAGGTGGCTTTATGGGATTTCATATTCTACTATTCATTGGAACAAACAAAGCTTCATTTATCACTCTCCAGGAAAGAATAAAAATCAGAAAAGGGCTCATTTTGCCATCTTTGCCATATACTTAGGATATAAGAGCAGGGATTGTCAGCAGATTGATGCTAGCAGGGAAAACAAGAAACAGGAACATAAAAAGTTAAGGTAATTAAATACCTTAACAACAAGGGCAACAAAAGCTGGGCCAATTCTCACTCAGATGCTAAGTGCCATCATGGCATCTGGGGCTCTTTGAATGGGGAGGT